TTTCTAAATGATGTATTTTGCTTATACTAACTTATAAAGATAACCCTAAACTATCTAATTAATAACTTATTTCAGAGATCTTCCTCTCGTTTTCAAGAATCGCACAAAACATTAAGGGGTTGTTTGACAAAAGTTCGATAAAATATGTAACGATTTGGGACTCACTCGTCAAGCCGTTGTATTATACATAATGTCCGCTTTGACAGAGCCTAAATCCATTTTACCCCACAACTTCTTATCGCATCCCTCAGAATTCGAAGCCAAAACCTCAATCTTAGAATTAATGTTTGATCAATAGAAAAAAATCACCGCACTTAAAAACGCGGACAATCACTATTTGTCACCGGTAAACCAAAATGAAAGATAGAAGACAATATTAGAATACCGAGGAGTTCACAAAGAGCGTATTTTAACTCAACCACGCTATTGACAGTTTCTTATATTTTTATTTTTATTTTTGTCAAGAATCATTATCAAACCTAGCGATTAATTATTTTAGAATTTTACTTATTTACTTATAAATAAACTTATTTCTAGGTGAACTTTTTAAGCTTGGCTTTTGGAAGAATACTTGCCAAGAAAAATAAAAGAGCATAAGAAACTTGGGAGAAAATATTTAGCCAATGCAAAATCGCGGTCCAAATCTATATTTACTTGCATTAATTTTTCACTACGTTATACGTACCGTACGCAACTTTCAAAATTTGATAAGACAATTTCTCATAGTCATTTTGTACAAGTAAACAATCCAGTATACCCATGACTATTTTAGGTATAAAGATACTTCACATGCCTAACGAACAACGCTAGTCCCAATTTCACATGGAAAATAATTAAAGAGTGGAAATAAAATATGAAGTAGGGAGATTTGGTCTCAAAATTAATAGAAATTGGAAAGGAAAGGTAATTGCAGAACTGTACCCGGAGTTCTTTGTTATAGCTATATGAACGAAGTGCAAATTTATCGAAAGTCTCCAATAAATAGTGTTTCAGTAAAATTTTGTGTTGTTAAAATTGTAACATGATAGATATGAGTGGTGGATTAGTGAATAGTGAAAAATAAATTATAAGTTAAACGAATCAAAAACACAAATGATTGAGGTTTTGCCCAATTTCCTCTAGAAGGTCATCATTTCATGAATACAAGGAGTTTTGTAGGAATTAATTGCCCATCTACTTGTAATAATAATTTTTTTGTGGAAAATGGTGGTCATTAATCATTGTGTCAAATGTATCTTCACTATAGGTAAAATCTATTAACGCCTCGAAATTTACTTCAATTCTTTACCTGCTCTCTTTACCTACTCTCAAATAAGGACGAGCGTGATTTGATTTGAATGAATGTTGAATTATTTTCAGGCGAAACATTGTTGAAAATGTGTTCTTTTTGACATTTGAAAAATTATTTTAAAAACACCCAAAACCCGTCTTGAAAATTTTGGTTTGATTATAACTGAAAACACCCAAAACGACGACAAATTTGTCGTTTTGGATTTTCTTTGTAAATTTTTAACTTGCTTTCGAAAATAGGAAAGAGAACGCGTTTTCACTGTTTTAGAATATCGAAAACAGAAAACAGTTTAAAAATGGTAAAGAGAACATGTTCTAAACTATGTAAAAATAGCATTTTGAAACAAGTGAAAAATAAATATATCGGTGTGGAATCTCAATATAGCACTTAAATTCAAACATTCTAAACATAAATATTGGAATACAAATATATTTATTTCGAGACGAGCTTAAAAATATAAAGTTTAACCATAAAATTGAAGGTTGCAAATTCATTCTTTTAAAAATAGATAAGAAAATATTATCATAAACATTATTTCCCGAGAAAAAACCAATAGAACGCTCTAGCAAGCAAACTACTGAAATTTTGAAGTATAAATTGAATTATAAAAATAATATATTCGTGGGTAAAGCTGGTCATTTTTTTATTTTTTTTCAGAAAAAAAAAATTGATGGAACGGTTCAGTTTGATTTTTACTAATTTTTATCAAATTAGAAACTAAACCTCGATTTTAAAACAGTTGAAACCTAAACACGTGGATCCGAACCAACGATTTC